TTATTAGTGGAAGTGATGATGCATATGCATTCATGTGTCGTCATCTTTGCAATTGCAAAAGGGAAAATTACCCAATGATCTCTCGGTTTGTTACAGTATAAGAGCATCGACAGCCAGGCGCCCAAAACCCGTCTCATACGATCGAGCGGGCCGGTCGGTTACTGACCGATCACGAAATTTTGACCCAGAGTCCCAGACGCACGTCTAAACAGGCCGCAAACATCAGGGGTGACCGGCACCCCTCATATCCAGCCTAAAAAACAGGTGAATATCGGGGCGCGTCGGCCACGTCGGACGGGGCCCTCGCTGGCCCATCCCACCCCACATATATTCAACATATCCGCTCGCCGGACCAAACCCTAGCCACTTCACACTCCACTCCATCCGCCACCCAAGCTCACCTCCGGCACTTTTCTGCCATCTCAGACATGGCGGGCAGCTGATCTGACTCCGACCAGTCCGGATCCGTCGACTGGAATGTCATTCCGTGCAGGTTGGAGGAGGCAATGGCGGTCCGCATTGCATTCCGCCGCTCCCGGGAGGATAGCGCCCGGCCGACGACAGGATTTGTCCGGCGCGACTCCATAACGTGGGCTCAACGAACGCTTGGGTCCTCTGGGGCTGGATCATCACGGTCCCAGCAGCCGGAAAAACTCTCCTTCCCCATCACTGATCGGGCGGACTATGAGTCCCACCGAGACCGGTGTGCCCGCCGGGAAGGAAAGGATAAGGGCCGCCGAGGCCCGTATCGCGGCGGAGGCGGCTGATGCGAAGACACGGGCACCACAGAGGAGGAAACCATCCGCGCTTGCGTTGTGAAGAAATGGCTGCGGAGGAACACGTGCGCCCTCGCCCGAGAGCAGAATCGGACGGTCCGTGCCATAGCCTGACTGCCACTGAGGGAAGAGAAGGAGGATAGCAACGGCGAGGACAGCTCCGGTGATGAGCAGATCCGGCTTGATCTCTACCACGTCTTCGATGGGTACTTCCGCGAGAAGGACGGCAAGGGCAGTCGTGGATGATCTCCACTATAGCCAAATATGCTAAATTTTGATAGTCTAATGGCATGCTAGTAGTGATGGAGTAGCCGAACGATGTGTGTAATGCATCGACGTAGTTGTATGAGTTTATATGGATTCGGGATATCATAATTGATGTGTCCGTTTGTGAGCAGGCAAATTTATAGCTTGATCGGTCAGCGTCTGTGGACGTTTGAGTAGCCAGATTTGCAAAGTCCTCTAGAGAAAATTTTATGTGCTCTAAGTGACACTTCCAAATCGAGGAAACGTGGGGCGCGTGAGCCTGCAAAGATGCGTCAAGTTCGTTTACTCGACGGCAGCACCGCCGTCCCCAGGCCTCTGGACGATACACCTTGTGCGCCGCAGTACGGCACTCCAGGTGGAGCGCTCGCACAGACACGACAACGATCCAACAAGAGTCCAGCGAATCCACACGGTTTAGGAATTTGGACTTGGGTTTGTGCTTATAGATCGCCGGGTTAACGACACGGGCAAAGCAGCAAAGTACTTTCGCCCGTCCTGTCACTAACACTCGTTCATTCCTCTACGGTGTAGAGTATGTTTTTGTCTCCTCTCCTATGCATTGTTAACGCGTCGATCGTGTCCGCTACCAATCTAGCCCGGACTCGTTCCCGATGACTGACTGCTCAATTAACAACGACAAAGTAGTAATGTAATGTACGAAGGCCATAGTTCATGACCGAATCAAATGGAATTTTCAAACACATGTCCTTGACCAATTGTCATGTGGCTGTGACTATTGGATCATGCCTCCATTGCTAATCGATTTTGGTCAAACCTCTCCAAATAGTTCTTTTTTGAAAAAAGCGATAATCCCTGACCTCTGCATCAAACGATGCATACAGTCATTTTTATTAAATTATTCAATAAAGTATGACAAGAACAAATAAATATATCAAACCAAAATCACCTTTTTAATGACCTATGTCACGATTTTTTGTCCAAAAGGACCACCTATCAAGTTGAATTGTCAAAAAAGACTACCTCTAAAACACATTGACAAAAAAGACCACCTGCAGCATGGCGGCAGGTGCGCCAGCCGACACGTGGCGCCTGCCGCAGCCCCTGCCGCCACGGGCGCAGGCGGCAGCCCGGGCTTAACCGGTTTTCTCGCGTCAACTCCAACGGAACGGACCGCCACGCAGCAAGGCTGCAGCTACTGCTGCTGCGCGGGCGCCGAGACAGACCAGGTGGGCCATGCCGCCACTGCCAAAGGCGGCAGCTAGTGCGTACTGTAGCTAGTCCCTGCGGTAAATGGATAGAGCTATTTTCTTCCGGCCCGCCTTGCGGTAAATGGATATACCAACTTGGAGAAACTAGCACTTGGCTAAATGGATAGAGCTATTTTCTTCCAGTCGCCGTTCGTATGACTCGAGTCAATCCGCCGTACGTACGCGGCTACACTGAACAATAGCCCAGTTCGTCAAAAAAGAAAAAAAAATAGCCCAGCCCGACGGTATCTCTGCCCTGCGCTTGCGCTTGTGGCGCCGATTAAACAAAGTGGCATGACCACCGCGCACAGGGCGCCGCTGCCACGCAACGGATGCTGCCTCGGGCCGTGGCGGCAGGGCCCATCTAGCCTGCCGCGGTGCGTGCAGCCTCAGTAGCTGCCGCCTTGCTGCGTGGCGGCATGGCTCACCGCTCCGGTCCGTCCCGTTGCAGCTGACTCGCGGACGGCAAAACCTGTTAAGCCTAGGCCGCTGCCTGCGCCCGTGGCGGCGGGTGCTGCCGCCGGCGTCTGTGGCGGCAGGTGCCACGTGTCGGCTGGCGCACCTGCCGCCACGCTGCAGCTGGTCCTTTTTGTCAATCTGTTTTAAAGGTGGTTTTTTTTGGCAATTCAACTATGCAGGTGGTCTTTTGGACAAAAATTCTCCATGTCACTACACCTGCTAGCTTGATGATGTGCCCTGACCGCACCAACACACACCATCTTTCTTGGTGGCCTCACCAAAGCCGCCCCACAGCGAGCCGAACACACTAACTGTTTTAGAAGACCCTAAGCGCGCACCGCATGCACACACTCGAGAATCCACCATCACTATCTTTCACCGTCCAACTTCAAAAGAGATCCACACATTAACCTTGTCAGGCCCAACTGCCGTCGACCACAACGACAGACAACACTACCATCATGTGCGTGTCTACTAGTACAAGACCCCCTCATTTGCAGCATTCCTAATCGCCTTCTAGCAGCGTCCAATCAAGACAATTACGGGCGATTTAGTGATCCGCATTGGAGTTACCCTTAGAACTTTGGGTAGGTCGTCGGATTAACGACGTGGACAAAGCAGCAAAGTACTCTTGCCCGTCCTATCACTAGCCCTCGTTCATTCATTCATTCATTCTCCTTCGTAGTGTGTTTTTGTCTCCTCTCTTAGGCACTATTATTAATTATCACGCCGTGTCCGCTACCATAGCCCAAACTGATTGGTGATTCCTCATCAAATAGTCTCTTCGTTTTTGTTTACTTCGCATATTAGCTTTGACTAAAGTCAAACTTTATAAAACTTTGATCAAGTTTATAGAAAACAATATGATCATTTACAGTAACAAATTTATATGATGTGAAAATATATATTCAATGATGAATCTAATGATATATATTTGGTGGTGTATATGTTAGTATATATATTTTTCTACAAATTTGTTAAAAATATATAAAGTTTGACTTTAGACAAACTTTAGACAAACCTAATATGTGAAGTACATAAAAACGAAAGGAGTTTTAATACGTCCAAAGGCGGAGGGAATCTATTGCTTAGGGTTGCAGAAGCCTGTTTTATCTCCAGTGATGGAAGGAAGGAACGAGGATGGATGCTCCCGTCGGAGCTGGGCGGCCGTCTCCGGCGGTACCGTCCAAAACCGCGGAGCGCATCTTCCCAAGGAGGCAACCCTGGGATGCTCGTGCGCTCATCCCTTCTGCCGCCTTGGCCGTAATGGGATGTTTACAAACAAACATTTTTGGTGTTCGGTACAATGAGTCCGTTGACCAAAGCTCCGTCGAGAGATTTCTCTATTGAGTTTGCAGCGGCCGTTCGTTGGTGGTCTGGAACTGAAAGGAGCGGGAGGTCTCCGGCACTTTGTTTCATCCTAGTAGTACAAGCTAGTACAGATTCTCCTTTAGATTCCGTTGGTTTGTCTTTTCTTTTAGCAAAAGATCCTGCTACTTAGCAGATCATAGGAGTATCCGCTGTACTACTGCTGGCCAGTGGCGGCTCCAGAAATTTGCAACCGGGTATTCATGTATATTCATATTGTTAAAATCATTGTTATTTTTTTAAAATTGTCACTATTTTACCAGAATCAACACTGTTTTGTAAAAATCACGGGTATTCACATGAAGACCCAAGAATACCCCTAGCGCCGCCCCTACTGCTGGCTCCTATTTCTTACTCCCTCCACTCCAAATCACTCGTCACAGAAATGGATATATCTAGATATGTATTTTAGTTCTAGATACATCCATTTCTACGACGAGTAATTTGGAATGGAGGGAGTACCTCTAGGAATGACAGTGGCCTTAACTGTATCCTTTCAGCATGTTAACTTCAGACAACGATAGCAGCTATGAGCCAATCAACAGAGACTTTCTACAAACCGTGATCCGGCACCGAAAACACGGCATGATTTTGCATCCAAGAACAAGGATTGATCCTCATGAGTGATACCCACGATTGTCCACAATAGCTGAATTTGTTTCTACTGCATTTACAGACGCGCTTTGAAGCATGCCGTTACAAGGAATTTAAACACGGTTTGGTCACTGTCACTGCCATTGCAGAATTCAATCTATCGACACCATGACACTCTGCTGCGACGAAACGATGGAGACAATTTACACCTGAAAAATGATGACCGAACCCCAGCTTGTTTTCAGAAAAGAAAGCCAAGCATGGCCAACAGTCAGCCCAATATCCACCCACTGAAACCAGAGGCGCATATACTTGAATGGTCTGAAAGTTAAGCTGCTTCTCCCGAATCACGCATGATTGATTGCGGCGACCACTTCAGATGCAACTTCAGCCTCCCGGTCTTTGCTCCCTGCAACGGGAAGCTGTCGGTGTAATCCTCTTCGATCAAAACCTTAGTTAAGGTCAGGATGCACCGCCCCATGTAATCCTGCAGAAACCAGAGTTAACAGTTGCTATGCAAACATGAAACCACATCACAGTTGAAAAAGTACTCGGACAGCATTACGATGAAAGCTTCGATGGAACTTACTCTACTGAAAGTGTCGTGATCATAAACTTCCAGCATGAGCATGTCATGTAAGCCATCTTCGACAACGAAGTCAAAAGTTTGATTCCAAACAGGGTTCAAGCTTTCATTCACAACCTGAGGTCAGCACATGACAGGAACAGTGAAGGCATGCTTTAACTAAAGCAAATTCTTAATGGTAACACATTATATACTCCCTCCGTTCCTTGATATAAGGTGTATAGATTTTTTAGAAAAAACCCAAAATATAAGGTGTATTGCGTTGCATCACTCGTTTGTATAATTTGTTTAGGAATTTTATTACATTTTCATACATTAAGCAAGCTCCTCTATTTTCTCATGCCAATTAGTCGGGTGTAATCTCGCCCAAAAACTTGTGAAATTGTTCCTCCACGTGCGTTCTTTAATTTCCGTGCCAAAAACTATACACCCTATATTTAGGAACGGAGGGAGTAGCTAACAGAGACCAACATTGCAAAATCATTGAAAATTAACACTATGATATTATACTATTTTAAAACTGGCAATGATGTATATCTGAAAGAAATTACCCTTGTCTTGTGCTTGGTTTTTGTTTTCTTGAGAGAAACTACAACATATGGGTCAGACTTCCCATTCATATCCATTGCTGGCAGATCTTCACCAGATATCACAGTTACTTGGAGAACCCCTCGCAGGATAATTTCCTTTCTCTTCCTTGATGACAACCTGCCATAATCTTTGCTCGCTGATCCATTTCCATTAGTTGTCATTGTCCTCTCTAAGGAAGTCATCGAAAAATGTTGTTTAAAAGGATTTGGAGTCTCATCCTTCATGTTATATGGATAATAGACTAGCTCAAGGTGCACCTGTTGGGGTCATGCCAAACAAAAGGTTACAACGAAACAAGAAGGTTATGTACCCAATTTTGCAATATGCCCCATGAAAAATGATAATATGGAAAGCTAAAGCTATTTTGAGGGTCAATCAGTTCAGATTCCAGGAAAGCAAAAAAAGTTTTCTCCAGGAGAACTGGGCTCACCTGACCACGATCTTTCCTGTCTCTTTGAATCTCCAAATCTTTTACAAGCTTCAGCCAGACATCCTTCACTTTGCCAGGTTGAAGATCCTTCAGGCTAACTTGAGCACAGCCAATCAGATCAGATTCCTGAATACCATCATCATCATAAATCTTGACTGTCACGCTCTGAGTATCAGCATCTTCAACAATAAACTCAAAGTGTTCATTCCAAATGGGATTGAGATCATTGTTCTGTGAAGTTGATGACAAAAGTTAGTAGGAATCCCCAAAAGGCAAAGTGCCCAAACAAGGAATGGATTTAGTAGACTTACAATTGTTTTACTTCTCTTGGTTTTGTCTGGCAATGGTCGGATATATAAAGTGGCAAAAGGATCCGATTTTCCTATCAGATCCTTGTTTGTCAAATCTCTAGCTTGCACAAGCTTGACTTCCAATGTACCCACAGGCTTCAGCTCCAGATCACTGGTACACAATCATTATAGTCATTCCACTGTGATTTAGTGACACTGATTTTCTTTAAATGTACTATTATGTAACCAGGAATTAACTAGTACTCACCTGTAGTCCCCAGGTACTATAGGAATGACTTTCCTTACTGGCCATGTTATTGAGTCTTCAATAGCATTTTTTATAGTTTCCTGTAAAAGGATTAAGGATATTGTATCAACAAACTCAACAATAGGATGTGCAAATTCCAACTCTCTGCTATGAAACACAAGCGTATAGCCAAACCTCAAGAGCAGCTGAAATTCCAGGAATAGCAGAAATATCACCACCAATGACCTTCAGTTTGAAATCCAGTTTTTTCTAACAATTTTATAGGAGAGAAAAAATAGTAAGGAGGCAAACGAAGAAATAGCTACGGCAACGAGAGAAAAACAATGATGGGGAACAAATTAACCTTCTGTCTTAGAGAAAAACAAACAGCTCCAAAGCAAGGCAGTTGTTCAACCAGCGGTTTGAAAATCAAGCGGAAAACTCCCGTGAAGCCGATGTCCTTCACCTATATGGCAGGAGAATCTTAGAACTATGGAAGAAGTGATAAGGTTCATTTTGGCGTATGCAATACATGATATGGTAATTGGTTGAAGTTTTAAGGATTAACACTATCACTATCCAACCGAAGCACATGAACCCTCGCAACTCAAAATGTCATGCACAAATTGCATGTAAATGTTTGCATGTCATGCACAAATTACACGTAAAATTTTGCACTGCAGAAACTAATGAGTTGGCTGATGAACTAACACCATACGACCCCCTTGGTCGATCAAGAGTAAACCAGAGTAGAATCTGATTAACAACCTTTTACCTACTTGACTACTTCTTACTTGTTAGATATGTATAAGACGACTATTTCATAATTTAATTGGTCTAAAAATAAAATGTCAGTTCAGTGATTATGATTCAGTGCGCATATTCCATCAATTCATAGTTTCATACAACATGACCAAAGACAAAGACATGAAATAGATCACCTGTATTGGTAATGCCACCCCAAGTCTAGTTTTTACATCCAATATGATACTTGGATTGGCATCCCAATTCATCTCTAGCTCCATAACAATACCTTCTTCATTACTCTCAATGATTGAAATACCTGCACCAAGATGAGTAGGGTACACTGGGTCAGGCTAGATGAAATGAAACTAAAATGAAGCACCACAGAACTGAAGGAACTACTTCAAACTCATCACAATATAACTACTTTTTTTTACAGAAAGTAGCATTTTCAATGGATGCGTGGAGTGGAGCACCTTAAATGAACAGCATAAAGATCATTAAAAAACCTTATTTCCATTAGGATGAAATTTATTTATTGATAGAGTCTTGTGCATCCAAAATAGTATTCATCCACACCCTCAAGGCCTCAAAACAGTTTTACTACTATAGTACTATTACAAAGTATGGGCAAACACCATGTATACAATCTAATATGCAGAACCAGCAGACCTAAGGGGTTAATGTCTCATTTGCTGGTGTCATACTATTGCATAAAGCATGAAAATCTTGGTCAACGAAATCCGCGAACAGAAAAATGCTGGCAACAATAAAGAGTGAGTTCCATGTCATCAAGAATATAACAAGATAGAGGAAATGGTGAGAGGTAGTTTGAATCTACCTACCAGTAAACTGCGGTGCAACAGTACCAAGAGTGAGTTTTGAGAACGTGAGGGCAGCAAAGACCACTGGCCTATATTGTTCAAGAACAGGCTCAACGGAGGCTTTGATGAGTTCTGATGCTGCCTGCAACAACAGATGACCAGAGAAGAAGATGCTGAAGAAGATGTGTTTACAAAAGAAGCAAAATAAAAAGAATTCTGGTGATGGTATCAGGATACATGGAAAGAGATGCATACCTCATTCACAAAGGGCCATATTTTGTTGAGCTCCTCATTCAGCCATTTTAACTGCATAATTGCACGCATGAATACATGATCATTCACCTATAGTGTGAAGGAGAGCTAACCAGAGATTGCTAAAGAAGTGTGTATACCTTTTGCTGCGTAGAGAAAACAACCCAGGATGGGTACAGGGTACCTGGAAGTAACTTGCGTGAATCTTCGACCGTCATTTTAGAGAAAGTGGCAACCGTGGCAGCCTGCACAATAACCAGCAAAAATTCCTGTTAATTCAGGTATGGCTGCAACCCGGAAATTCAGTCACAGAGGGAAGGGTTCCAAGTTTATGATGGACATGAAGGCCTATCTCAGCTGGGTGGGGAAGTGCAAGTGGATGGACATTCCACTACCTGGGTTCAAGTACTCTGCTCAAATTTGGGCGACAATGCCAACAGAACATGCAATTTCTTCAACAACAACATAAAAGGTGATATACAAGTGACCCCATGGACTAAAACTGGCCTGGCTTAACTGTCATATGCACGGTGAAAGGGAGTGGCCAACACTGTAACTACACGAACCATAGGGCATGCCCAGGAGCACTTGCCATTGGGATTATCTGCTGGGAAAAATCGAGGGCCCCAAAATGAGTAGTACTGCCCTACTACAAGCTAATGTAGTACTATGTGACAAAATAAAATGCTACTGTACGATTGTAACAAGCTGCGAGCAGAGCGTGGTAGCGAGTTGCGACCCACATAAGCCAAAACCTATGCCGACACCGACGCAGTCGCAGTTAAGCAAGGCGACACACAGGGATGATGATGCCGAGCGCCGGCTACCTAACGCGAAGGCAACAGTTGAACAGCCCCACCACAAAAGGCAAGAACAGATTCGGGCCCGCTTTCGGCTCACCGCTCGTACGCCACGCTGTATTCCTCCAATCCATCCCGAGCACCCGCAATCCCCTGCCCACGTAACGCAACAGAGGCGCATCGACGAGATTCGGGGGCGAGCGGGGGCGCTTACCAGCTTCCGGCGGCGGGCGCCGCGGGAGTTCTCGCAGCGGGCGAAGGCGACGATGAGCGCGACGCCGGCGGCGACCCCCATCGCCAGGCCCATCCAGAACCCCATTCCTCCGCGCCCTCCTCCGACTCCTGCCCTACCGCCGCGCTATCCTCCGCAGGCCAACGCGCATCTGGGGGCAGGCAGGGGCGGCACGCGAGCGAAAGCGAAACGGCCGAGGCGCTCCAGCTGGCGGGGCCCGCCACGGGCTGGGGCGACGCCGGCGCGGGACGGGCGGGCGGGCAGGCGGGCGGGGAGTCCAAGTGGCGCCTGTTTGGCTGGGCGGCGCTGCCGACGTGGGCTGGACTGGCTGGGGAGAGGCGAGGAGTTTGAAAGACCACGGGGGAAGGGAAAAAAATAGGCGGAGAAATGTGGAGACCGGGGAGCGGAAATCGGGAGAGCGACGGAAAGCGATGCCCGTTTGGGGATGGGTTGAGTGGGATGGAGATCTCGGCAGGCGAGCGACCGGCGAGAAAACTGTTTTTTCTTCCGCTTTCGCCAGGTAGGGGGATGGGATGGGATGGGATGGGATGGGATGGCGTGCGAGCGGTGAGCTGGGGTGGGGTTTGGGGTTTGGGGGTTTGCTCGCTGGCGGGTGGGGCAGGGAGAGGTGTGGGGGCCGCTGGGAGACGGGCGGCGGTGGGTGTGGGTCTTGCCGTTTTTGGGGGGCGACGCATCGATTCTCGTTCTGTGGTTCGAAGTTTCTCGGGGTTTAAAATATTTTTGGAGGAGGATTGGTCTGCGTGCTCCCTGCACGTGCCTCGTGGCCGAGCCGCGTCTGTCGCTCCCCGTGCTGATCCCGCCGGTTCGATGATCGTTGTGCGGGTTCATTCGACCGCGGCAACCGGGAGGCTATTGACACTGGTGTATGATCAACCACGGGGATTTTACTACTCGCTTTGCTTCGTGACGAAGGGACGAGCACCTGTCGCTCGACTGGACCTAGGGGCTGGGGCGCAAGGTTCACATCATCACGACGAGTCGACGAGCGAAAAAAAAGGGTGCCGGAAGCCGTAGTATGTCGAGTGTTCCCGATGGAGCGTCTAGCGTTTTTTAACCGTGGTCTAAACCATTCCCTTGCGCGCATCATCTTTGCTACAGCAAATTATGATCGAATGAGATTGTTAGTTAAACGAGGAAAAATAAGCAGCAATTACGACTTTTCACCGGTGTACCGCCACCGGGTCGTCCGGATTTGGTTTCGACATGGTCTTTGCTTGGACAAATGGGACATCCTTAGATCTCGGCATACCATTCGCGTGGTGAGGCGAGCAGAGTGGCTACCCATATCCGTGAATTTTCGGCGACTCCGCTCAGCCCGTTTTGTATTTGCTTGTTGCTACTAGTAAACAAGAACTGAGAGAGATCCTACTTTTAGCTATGAGCATCAAAAGACTCAAGAAGAACATTGTTGGCCTCATTTTAAAGACGCTATTGGTGTCGTGGATGGATCACATGTGCCAGTTACAGTGCATGCAGATGTCGCGGTTAACCATAGATGTCGGTGTGGCATTGCATCTCGAGAATGTGCTTGCGATATGCGGCTTTGACATGAGGTTTATTTTTGTGGTTGCGGGTTGTCGGGCTCTGCACATGACACCACGGCCCTGAATCACGCATTAGAACACTTCTCTCCATTTCTATACCTCCCAAAGGTACAACATACTAAAAAAATGCCATCATTCATTATATTCTTATGTGCGATGCTAAATTGGTGTTTATTTTCAGAGAAATACTATCATGTGGACTCCAGGTATCCAAACCGAACGTGATATCTTTCTCCTTTTAAGCAAATATGAACGGGTTATCATGTGGACTCTACAAGCGACGAGATGCGGAGCGACCAGCAGGACGCGAGGGGTTGAGGCAGCCACAACCACATGTGTGTGGAGTTAGGACCGACGAGCGGAGCGACGGAGGTGCTACAATCGCCACGCGACCGTGTCACCATCAACGCACGGCGACAACGACCACTTCTATATTTGTGTATATTGACAAGTGTGACCGGCGACAACAAATGCTACCATCGTCCACGGT